CATTATGAATCCACTCCTAATATAATTCGGAGAAAAACAACTATTATTCGAGAAATACTTTTACTAGTATTACAATACAAATTCCGATACCATTTATCAGTTATTCCGAATCTACGATCAGATAATTAATTATTGTTAAACTAGCTCAGTAATACTTACAAAAACATAAAAAAGACTCATTCCACCCCAAATACGAATTCATTCTTAGTTTTTTTTAGGTTACATGAGAGTAATTCATGAAATATCACTACAAGGTAATCAAAGACAATAACAAACATTTATGTCTTGGTTTCGTAAATATTTGTTATATTTCCATTTTTGCTGATATTTTATCCGACAATAATTGAAGAAAAAAAATTGAAATAATAGTTTATTACGGTATAGCTGAAATTGTGCCAGAAACTTCCTCAACAAGGTCCTATATAGACTACACACTGTTTTACAACTAACCAAACCGATTTTTTACACCCTGACACGCGTTTCGCTAACTATGTTAGCATCTTCAGGGGAAAGATTAAAACTCAGGGGCGGATATTAAAGAAAAGCACTGTATAAGATAATCTTCCGTATTCTGAATATGACACGAGAAAATAATGGTACTTTTTCATGATATACAGGGTGTTCCAAAATTGTACCGGCACTCTTATTAACATGCGATATAGCCCAGTGGCGTCTTTTTCTCAAAATTCCACGATAATATCGAACCTCGATTGTTTTCTGCTCTATTCGCATCTAAGTTATTGTCCACGTTTTCTGGGACACCCTGTATAGATTCACCGTTGATAACAGTTCGAATTCGTTTGTGAGCTCATCTAATGAGACCGAGCATAAAAAATACCTAGAATTCATTTTTTTATCTTATCAGGCTGATGATTTGCTCCAAAAAATGAATCAAGGCCAACATCATTAACATCAACATGACAGTTTTGTGGATTCCCCTCATGTGGAATCAGGACACAGTGGCGTATCGAGAGTGGATAGAATAGAATAGAATAGTTTATCATCAACGTCACAACAATGAGAAATGATGTAACTCTGCATTTACACAGTGGCTATATATTTAAAGATAAAAAGAAATATAACAGTTCAAACATTATAGACAGATGTATAAAAAAATATCATTACTAACATGGATGCAAGTGACATAACAGTTCAAAACACGACACCTGTATAACAGATTATCACTAACATTTTATCACTACCAGTGATGGAGATTTACATATTCATATATTCTTCTATAGAATAAAAAGCATTTTCGATAAGAAACTTCTTTGTTGAATTTGCTGCTGTGTCATCTCTTATCGAGTTTTCTTTCAGGTAGATCGCTTCACGTGGTGGTGGACGGTGTATCGTCTGATACCATTGACATCAATTCCGGCGTTTCACAAGGATCAATTTTGGCACCAACATTATTCCTTCTTCATATCAATGATCTGTTGGGAGTAACAACTTGCCCTATCCACAGCTTTGCAGATGATTGTACCCTCCATACTGCGTTCTCTTCCAGAATTCCTATTTCTTCCCAGGAAACTAAGAACTCACGGCGCAGGCAGGTCAATGCTGTCAATGAAGATCTTGCTGAAATCACAGCCTGGGGAACCAACAACCTAGTTGAATTCAACGCCACCAAAACTCAAGCCTGTATTTTCTCTAGAAAGGCGGAACTCAGTATGCCCGATATTGTTATGTCTGGCACCACCATCAGCACCAAGCCCACCATATCTATGCTCGGTATTTCCATCAGCAACACTCTTTCATGGGATAATCATGTCAGATCCATCGCAAAAGCTGCTTCACAAAAACTCGAATTCTTGTTCCGTGCGAAAAGCTACTTCACACCTCAACAGCTTCTCATGATCTACAAAGCGCAGATACGTCCTGTTCTAGAATACTGTTCCCACATATGGGGTTCAGCACCAAAACATACGCTGATGCTCTTAGATTCCATCCAGAGAAGAAGGGAAGAGTCATTCGCCTGGTGGGTGACGCCACACTCACTCACTCTTTGACATCATTGGAACACCGTAGAAAGGTCGGCGACCTTTCACATTTCTATCGATACTTCCACGGGAAATGTTCTTCGGAAATCTCTGCTATCATCCCTTCACTAGCAATACCAGTCAGACGAGCTAGACAAGCCCAATCAGCACATCCTTTCGTTGTCAACCTCGAAAGATGTCGAACAACACTTTATCAAATCTCCTTCATCCATAGAACGGCTAGGCTCTGGAATTCATCACCTGAGGAAGTATTCCCAACAACATATAATCTCCATCAGAAGTTCAAAGAAAATTCCAATACCTACCTCCTGTCCCTATCCTCCCTAGGAACGCACGATGCTCTTTGAACATTATAGGGATTTCCTTTCGTGCGCTCCAAGCGATAAAAAAAGTACATAATATGGTGATTTCAAAATTGGAAACATGGGTGAATTGAAAGACAAATAGTATAACGAAATGAAATAATAGTCTGCAACTTGATTATTTATTTCTGATTGATGAAATATAAGACTAACTAACTAACCACCATAGTAAGTAAGTAGAGTAATACCATCATGGTGTGGAGATTTTTCATACAATGACTTAGAGTGGTGCTCTGTTTTCAGAAGGTGATTTTGTCTTGTGTTATAGATCTTATTTTCTGGGTTTTCTTGAGGAGATGCAATATTTTTCCTAATGTATTTTATTGTGCTATAAATATATATCCAATGAATAATAACGATTTTGAACACCCTATATCTCTGTAATGATTTCGGCTAGACCTCAAGAGTGATGCATTCATCAAATCAGCTCTTCAGGAAGAATCTAGAAATGATTTGCTTTCTTTTTCTTTCCAGCATTTAAAAAAAGTGAATCTATATGGGTAATACTGATATTCTTTACTCCCTTGATGTATAAATAACTATTTCAGTTCCATCATAATTTCATTATCAACGCTAGAAAAGAAAAAAAAATTGAAATCCAGAAATCCCGGTTTTTGGGAATAACTCGGAAACGAAATCAGATATTTTCGAAAGTTATTCATTGGTACCTACTTCATTCGCGCAAATCTATCTCCTTTCAACTAAATCTGGATCTCTCGTAGATTTCGAGATGTCCATACTCGCCCTTCTTATCTAACTCTGGTGAGGATGCTATTATACAGGGTGATTTATTGGAAAGGGGAAATCTCTTTTTTTCCACTATCACATCAAAGACTTTATAATTTTAAATTATTAAAGTGAAACATAAATCTCTTCAAGAGCGACTAACTGAAAAACCTAAACGATTTGAAAAGGAGTTCATTTTTTATGTGGAATTGATCAAGCTTTCAGATTTTTCACTTATTTTGATCATGATTAGATGAACAAAGAAGATATCATGTAATTTATCGAAGTAACCGAGTACCTCAAGCGCTTTCTATGACCAATCACGAAATGAAGTAACGAATTCGTATTTCTCATGTCAGAAAACCTGAAACTACAAAATGTCATGTTCAGACTGTTGAATTCCTAATAGCACACAGGAGTCACATGGATAATCATAGATCGTCCCGCCGGAACATTCGGGACGTCCATAGGACATGCGTTCTTGGTACCGCAAACATCCATCGTACGTCCGTGGGAAGTATAAATGTCAAGTTTTCAAACATTCATAACACATCTTCCGAAATGTCCATAGGACGTTCACTAGAACGTTCATAAAACGTTCTCTGGAACGTTCATAGGACGACACTGTAACTTCCATAGGACGTCGTCTGGAATGTCCATAAGATGTCCCAGGGACGTACGAATTATTCTTGAATTTGAATTTATTTGGGTCTTCCTAGGACTTGATCATACATAGCTGAAAAAGACATCCAGTTGAGGTGAAAGTTCCCAATAGATTCTGAAGAAGGTTCGCAAGGATGTCTAATGGACTTACTTAAAGGACTTTGACGGGAGTATTCATAGCCTACGAGCAGTTGATCGTCGGCGAGATGTAAGTTAACGTCCTCGCAGGGACAACATAGTTGACATACTGACTGGGACGTCCCTAGGACGTTATTTTCAGGATATTGAAATAAAAAAGATCATTCGTTTGCGTGATAGACATTCATATAGGATGACTATATGAAGTCCTGATGCCAATGTATACCACCGATTGATGTCCCTTAGGGCATATTCCAAATCGTATCCTGAGGACGTCTTTGGGACGTTCATAAGACGCTGTACTCATGACATCTCATGAAGTTATATTCCCTGAAGAATTCTTATACTTATTTCTTAGATGAACAGATGGATTTAGTATAGTTCATTCTAAAATCATAACAGTTCATGTACCAATTGAGACTTCCGACGGATGTTATACGATCCTGGAAATATTCCTGAGGAAATGTACCATCAGGGATATTTGATGGTTGTTCTAGAAGGAACATCATATAAGATCTGAAGTCATGCCAGAAAATGCACTACTTGGGACTTCCGATGAATGTTCTTACAGGAACGTTTAAAATTTCATCCCATCAGCGACCTGCTAAGGACGTTTCTGCATGGACATTCTACAATAAGTAGCACGTGGAAATGATGTACCAGCTCGGACATTCCATGGGCGTACTTGCTCGAATATTGCATGGGATGTACCAGATGGGACGTCCCTAGTACAATTATTTTAGGACCAGGACATTCGGACTTGAATTGTATCGAATAAGGAGGTTGCGTGCTGATAGTGAAACTTACGAAGTTATTGAGAAATTTCAAAATAAAATCTTCCCCAAGAACACCCCGTATCTTCTGAACCAGCAACATTCTCATCATCAGGCATGTTGGGCTAAATCTTAATATTTTAGTGTTCACTATCTGTATGAATCTCCCTGTATATGTATATGTGTTCTCACCCTAGGTGTATGATATACTTTTTTCCTTACGAATGTTTTCACGACGAATCGGACTAGTCGAATCTTTCAGAATATTTGGTTTAAAAGAGGGTGAAATGTTCAGGTAGAACTTTTTATTTGTTTATCAGTTCATAAAAAAAAGCAGATTGAAATACTTCAAAATTTTATTAGCCGTATTCAAAACATATCAAACAATCACAATATATGCCCCCGAATAAATCTTGAATCATGTTCTCGATGCATATGTTTTTTTCCATTCATTTTCCACAGTTATCATGATAAAAAGTTTGCGGTTTTTGGACTGAGCTCGAAAATCCCCTCCCAAAATTCTATTCTGGATCTTTCGGATTCTGGATTAGTAACGAGCTTCGGCTCATCGCCGATATCCAGAAGATGGATTTTCCCACTTTCCATGGGTTTCCATTCCAAATTCGATTTTCCCCGAGTGGAGGAGCTTAGAGTAGGATTTCCAGACGCAGCAAAATTCGTCCACAATTCGACAAAAGTTCTGATCGTTTTGTCTTCTCTACTGCCCTTTGGGACGTCAGGAAGTGCGGAGTTTTTGAAAAGGTACCCTAGCTCGTCTGCATGACAAACACCTGAAATACAGGGAGATCCACGAATACAGTGTGTCCCAAATTCGACCCTCATCACCATCGGGATCTCGGTAACTATGAGACATAGAGAGTCGGTTGAATTACAGCAAATTCAATCTTGATTCAGAATCCGTTGAGAAATCTAAAGTAGCGTCAGTCATTTTTGAGTTATTCAAGAAACACAGATATTTTGTATTTTCGTTCTCCTCGAATATCTCGAAAACTATTGATTGTATGAAAAACCGACTTCATCATTTCGATGGTACCTTTTAGTGATCTTTTGGATGCTTCTGTCAGTTTTTGTTGAACATGTCAAATATCTGATATATGTCCTCCAACTCATTTTTTTCCTCTGGACACTATATTATTAATAATAATAATAATAATAATGTTTATTGAAGTAATACCCAATATGTATAACAAATTAATCGCGAAATAATATATTATGGTCTTACTACTCCAAAAGGACAGAATAAAGCCATTTTTCAATTCTGCCTGAATAATTACAATAGAACATAACATAAATGAATAAATATAAAGGAAAACGATATATACAATACATACTACATAATATACAGGAAAATATACAGAAAAAATTGACTGAATAATTAAATAAACTATAAAAAATAATGAACACCGTGATCTAAGTGAGAATAGATCACTCGGCACTAATGATATGTCCTCAATAAATATAAATATACCTACTATAGGTGAGAGCTGCGCTCAGATTCTTACGATACTCTGTTTTGCATGAAATATTCTTTGTGTGTGTATTGAATGGGGAAGTTTTCTATATTGAGGATTTCATCTCACTGTTAAGTTTGTATAAAATTAATATATAGATATTATTCCTTTTTTTCGTAAGATCAAATTTCACTTCAGAAAAATATAAATAAAAGAGGAAATTGACTCCTCCACCATTCTTATGACTTTTTTTCTGAAAATCCACATTCACACAGAGTTAAAATGCGATATCCTGTGACTTTGCCGACATCATCAATATGACTAGATTTCCGGAAATTATTCTTTGAATGCATAATAACTATATCATAGCAGCAATGGGATATAATATCTTCTTCAATCCTACTTTGTCAAGTATTATGAATAATTCCCTCTAATCTCTCATTGGCTGGATGAAGTTAATCACTAATAAAGATAAATTATGATATTCTGCGATAGTATCTATAATTTCTCAATGTCGTTATATTACAATATAATATTTCTAACTTGTCAGTTTTTCGCTAATGAATTCGTTCCTTAATAAAACGGATCTATTTTCTAGGAAAGTCGCAGATTATATCTTGCACCATCGCCTTATACTTCGAGTCCGTCCACACCACTCAAAATACTGACAGGCACAACAAGAGGAAGGAGTCATGGGTGTCGGCTTCATTCTGTTCTGACCGATGGCAGAAAATTAGGAAGGAAAGTCTCCTTGAATGTTGCCCATAGTGATGCATTGATTCAATGATATTTCCGTTAAGAATCGAGCTCTATTCAAGATATTTCAATGCATAAATAAAAAAACCATAACCTTTCAAAATGAAGCCAACTACTCTCTGCATTCCTGTTCCGAGTGCATTCGTGATTATGTATGTTTTTGTTTGCCAGTTTTACTTCTTCTTCTATTTTTTTCATTCGTTAGCTATTCGCTAGCTATATTTTTCACCATCAGCTATTTTCAGACTAGATTCCGAATGTAAATCACAGTTTGCTGCCCCGAAAATTAGAAATTGCTATTTTATCGGTCGCCATTCTGTACAGCGTGTACATAAAACTGAAGAGTTCCGAACATATTTTATGAAAATTCATCTGAAAGAAACTTCCCCATTTTTCCAGATTTGAAATCAGCATCGAATTTAATTGTCTTTGAAAGATAACTAACAGGTACTATTAGAATGTTGAAGTCGTTTTTCCATTCAATTAATAGTTGGATAAATATTCGAGAAGAACCATACAGAATTTCAGTTTTTCTTGAATAACTCAAAAATGACTGAATCTGAACCAGATTTCTTGACGGATTCTGGATCACGATTAGATTTGCTGAAAGTTCCGAAATTTAACTGACTCTTTATCTCACATAGTTACCGATATCCCACTGGTGAGGATTGCATTTGGGACACTATGTTATTTCATTCATATAATAGGCGTCATATGGGAAACACTTTTAATGATAATTTATTTAGAGATTCGACTTGAGCGTAAAGTTTTGCTTTCGAAAATACAAAAAAGTAGTCCAGTCGGGGTCACGTGACTCTCGCTACATGTCAAAAGTGAATTTTTTTCAAATTAATCGCTGAAAATAGTCTCTTTTGTTTGAATTAGAAGAAATTTCTACTCCATATCAACGATTTGTTGAAAGCAACTTCATGTCAAGTACACAGCTTCGCGGATGATAGTCCCCTCCATACCGCCATCCATTGGAGCCCTGGAAGAGATCCAGGGCTCCAAAACCAGCCAGGCAAATCAGAAACGAACGAGGGAGAAATGTTGACAACATAAATATGGACCTGGCAACAATCCTCGAATGAGGATCCAATAACTTGGTAGATTTTGATGCAAACAAAACACAAGCATGCCTTTTCTCTAGAAAAGCCGATCTCACTGTGCCCAACATAAGCTTGTCAGGAGTAACCATACCTTCGAAGACATCCATTTCGATGCTTGGCATAATTATCAGCAATAACCTTTCCTGGGAAAATCACGGAGCTATTTCACTTCCAGTCAGCTGCTTATGATCTATAAAGCACAGATCCACCCTGTTCTGGAATACTCTTCCCGTATTTGGAGTGCAGCACCCAAACATACCCTGAAACTGTTGGATTCTGTCCAAAAAAGGGCAATTCGTCTCGTGGATGATGCCTCGCTCACAAACTCACTCACTTCTCTGGAACACCGTAGAAAAGTTGGCGATCTGGCTCTATTTTATAGATATTTTCATGGACGATGCTATCTGGAATATCAACAATTGTTCCTCTGTTGGCAGTCCCCTCGAAATTAACCCGTCGAGTTAAGGCTTCCCACCCCTTCGTGGTCACTTTGGAGACCTGCAGAACATCTCTTTCCAAGGACTCCTTCATCCAATGAACAGCGAGTCTTTGGAAACACATTGCCAAGGGAGGTGTTTCCCGAGGCATATAACCTCTAGAAATTTAAGAAGAACACCATTTCCTAAATAAATCACTACTGATGAATGTCACATTCTGATATAGAAATCAAAAAATGTTACAATATACAGGGTGTTCCATTTGAAAATTTAGAACCGGAGCCATTTGTGGTGAAACCGGAAGTGAACGGGAAGTGAAAAATATGTGAAAACTCTCCTCTTCACATACCATTTACCTATATCAAATCTCATTTTGATACACCTAATGGTCTAGAAGTTATGACTTGTCTAATAGATTCGTTGACACCCGGTATATGATTTCATCAACGAACGCAATCTTTCGAAGCATCATTCTTGAAATTGTGCTTCTGGCGGGTTATAGTTACAAAGGTATAGGATGCCATGGACCATTGACGGCATTTGAACGAAAGTCAATCTGACACTTATGTCATCATGAACTAATTGATCTGTATTTTGGGTAACTAACAATGATAGACAATACGGCTTTCGCCACCGAAGATCTACTGGAGATCTACTTGCCTACGTCACCCATTTATGGCAAGCTTCATTAGAAAAACACGGGGAATCTCTAGCTGTCGCTTTGGACATATCGAAAGCATTTGACCGTGTTTGGCACGAAGGACTCCTCCACAAACTACCATCATACGGCTTACCACCTCAGCTATGCCATCTCTTATCGAGTTTTCTTTCAGGCAGATCGCTTCATGTGGTAGTGGACGGTGTATCGTCTGATACAATTGGCATCAATTCCGGCGTTCCACAAGAATCAATTTTGGCACCAACATTATTCCTTCTTCATATCAATGATCTGTTGGGAGTAACAACTTGCCCCATCCACAGCTTTGCAGATGATAGTACCCTCCATACAGCGTTCTCTTCCAGAAATCCTATTTCTTCCCAGGAAACTAAGAACACACGGCGCAGGCAGGTCAATGCTGTCAATGAAGACCTTGCTGAAATCACAGCCTGGGGAACCAACAACCTAGTTGAATTCAACGCCACCAAAACTCAAGCCTGTATTTTCTCTAGAAAGGCGGAACTCAGTATGCCCGACATTGTAATGTCTGGCACCACCATTCCCACCAAGCCCACCATGTCTATGCTCGGTATTTCCATCAGCAACACTCTTTCATGGGATAATCATGTCAGATCCATCGCAAAAGCTGCTTCACAAAAACTCGGATTCTTGTTCCGTGCGAAATGCTACTTTACACCTCAACAGCTCCTCATGATCTACAAAGCGCAGATACGGCCTGTTCTAGAATACTGTTCCCACGTATGGGGTTCAGCACCGAAACATACGCTGATGCTCTTAGATTCCATCCAGAGAAGAGCCATCCGCCTGGTGGGTGACGCCACACTCACTCGCTCTTTGACATCATTGGAACACCGTAGAAAGGTCGGCGACCTTTCACTTTTCTATCGATACTTCCACGGGAAATGTTCTTCGGAAATCTCTGCTATCATCCCTTCGCTAGCAATACCAGTCAGACGAACTAGACAAGCCCAGTCAGCACATCCCTTCGTTGTCAACCTCGAAAGATGCCGAACAGCACTTTATCAAAACTCCTTCATCCATAGAACGGCTGGGCTCTGGAATTCATTGCCTGAGGAAGTATTCCCAACAACATATAATCTCCAGAAGTTCAAAAAAAATTCCAATACCTACCTCCTATCCCTATCCTCCCTAGGAACGCACGATGTTCTTTGAACATTATAGGGATTCCCTCTCGTGCGCACCAAGCGATAAAAAAAAAAGAAAAAAACTGCATCTGAAAGTTTTGATTAAAAGTACGTTCAGAATACGAAGAAGCATATGATATTATATTATTGTTACTTATTGTTTCATAATCGTGATAATGACACTGATTACTTGAATTGCAAAGATTTTGTAGGTATTTTGTAGATATATCGAAAGGATGCATGCTGAAGCCAATTCATTTCACTTCCCACGGGAGCAAATTGATAACTTTGTTTCCTCAAATGAGGGAGCAAGCAAAACTTAATGCCCAAGTCGAATTGCAAAATGAATTATTATTAAAAGTTTTTCCCATATTGAAATAATACTCATATTTTTATTTTATAGAAACGAGGAAAGAAAATCCCAAAAATTCTAGAATAATGAATATACCACCTTCTCGATGAACCTACAGACAGTAACCGAAACTATACAGTCTGTCCAAGGATAAGGTTGAACAGCATGGGGATCTCGAAAACGGTAGGAGATACGAAGTCGGTTAAATAGGGAAAAAGTTGCGCATTCGGAGGCTCATTTCAAGAGCCTTCGAAAATTTTCAAAATTATTTTTAGTTTTTTAGTTATATCGAAAAAAGTGAATTTTTGGAATATCTATTTTATTTTTTTTCTCCGTTATTATTAGAGATACTGAAAAACTGAAAATACTTTTGCATAGCAACTTTTGATGACGTTTAACGTGGTTATACCGATTTTTTTATGCGACGTTTCGTATCCGTAGAACCATTATCAACTTTTGTTTTTTATATACGGTCCTGATAATTTTTTCACAGATTCTGAAAGGTTTCTCCATTTTTGATTCCACCATGTATAATACAAGGTGATTCGAATGTGTTTCGACCTATTTCTATCCATCATCAATGTTTTTTCGAACTTCCAAAGGAAAAGTCCCATCAGTTCCATTTATTTCTGATCATTTAGTGTCAAACATTGATGGATTAGTTATTCAATACTGAAAAATGAATAAAGAATATTTCACTACATCATTCAATGCAGCGCTTAAAATTGTTGATGAATTCTTACACGGATTACTTCAACAACTTAATTTTGACAATACCTTCAGAAACATTCATAACAAATGTTCAAAATGATAACCATTATTTTCTGAACAAAGATATCCTCTTCTCACAGTTGCTTCTAAGACATTACTAAGCATTTCTGGGGTAATTCTATTGAATGCTTCGATGACACTGTCCCTTAGTTCATCAAAGCTATTTCCGTGTACAAAGTTTTTGATATATCCCCTAAAAAAAATCCAGCTGTGTCAAATCAGGTGACCGCGCCGGCCAAGGAACTGCAGAATGGGTACCAATCGAGGTACCAATCCATTTTTCTGGATAAAAAAGCACGAACTTCTCTGGAATTATGTACCGGAGCGCCATCTTGTTGAAACCAACAGTTCTGAACTTCCGCAATCGGTAAATCATCCAGAGCTTCCTCAAGATGATTCTCAAACAGATTTCTATAACGTTAGGAAGTCTGTGTTTCATGGTGAATAAAAGGACCAATAATTCGTGTACCAAATATTGCAACCCACATATTAAAGCAGAAACGGTGTTGGTGTCTCGCTGTAATGTATAAATGTTCATTTTCTCGTGAACAATAATGTGTATTTTTTCTATCGAAGATACCATGATTAGTGACCATGCTTTCATCAGTCCAGATGATTGTTCGCGGGAAATCTGCAAAATTTTGACATTTCCTGGTAAACCACTCACAGAATGTCCTGCGCCTCTCGTCATCGCCTGGTTTTAGCGGTTGACATATAATTTTTGTTTCCGCAAAATGAAATGGGTTGTTGATTGAAACCAGTTGATGAAGTATTAGTGTGTTGACTAATTTTTCTCCAAAATAAGTGGAACTGATGGAATTTTTCCTTTGGAGTTTCGAAAAAACATTGATGATGGTTAAAAATAGGTCGAAACACACATAAACCACCTTGGTTGAATTCAAAATGAAAAAACCTTTCAGAATCTGGGAAAAAATCATCAGGACCGTATTTAAAAAACAAAAGTTGATGATGGTTCTACGAATACGAAACGTCGCTTAAAAAAATTTGTATCACCACGTTAAACGCCATCAAAAGTTGCCATGCAAAAGTATTTTCAGTTTTTCTGTATTTCTAATAATTACCGGAAAAAAATAAAATAGATATTCCACAAATTCACTTTTTTCGATATAACTAAAAAACTAAAAATAATTCTGAAAATTTTCGAAGGCTCTTGATATGAGCCTCCGAATGCGCAACTTTTTCCCCATTTAACCGACTTCGTATCTCCTACCGTTTTCGAAATCCCCATGCTGTTCAACCTTATCTTGGACAGACTGTATAGCTTTTATTTTGAAAAATTCAAATACGTCACTCACCTGGCAAATCTGTCAGACCGCCAAAAACTTTCAAAGTGTTCAGTCCCCCTTCGAATGACATCCTGTATAAATAAATGGGCGAGTCTGATGATTTGATATGGTTCCTTATTGTGGAGTATACTCCTATCATATACAAGCAATCAGTGAAAGGCTGAAAAAAAATGTTTCATTATATTTCTCGTTTTTATAATATCAATGATAAAAGGCAAATAATAAATATCTATTGAAGCCGTTTATATGCAGGGTGACAATTCATAAGAAGAGGCTTTTTCTCCTCCAACCCCCCTTGGTACTAAATTCAATTCGGTTGATAGGAACTATACCTCATACAGAGTGAACCAACACAGGGTGATCCTCAAATAATCGTACAATGAATTGTGGTAGGTTTTCGACTTGAAAACATTGGAGATCTGAGCCAACTTTTCTCAAAATATTGCTAATAAGGGAGACACAGGGTGTCAGAATTTGAATTTTCAAACTTGATTTTTGCTATAAATACGACGTTTTTGAATATGAATACATAGAAATCACGAACCTATAGGTTTAATTTTTTTGCGAGAAATCATATAATTTGGTATCTATTCAATGTATTTTCTAGAGGATGCCACTTAAGCTACTTTTATATTATGAATTAACTTAACTTTTTGTTGTTTAGTGCATCAAAGATACATCATTTCAACATGACTGAATTATATTCATATATTCTTGAAACTTGACATTTTTCGAAATGGGTAATTGCATTTCAGTTTTTATCCCACTTTGAAGCTTGCAAAAATTTAATACCAATATGATATACGTATTTTTTCTTTTTTTCGTAAGATCAAATTTCACTTCAGCATTGAATAAATGAAAATGGAACTTGGTTTCTTCACCATTCCTATGACGTATTACATCATTACATAGAAAAGCCACATTCACACAGAGTCAAAATACGATTCCCTGTGTTGCCAGCATCATCGATATGTCTAGAATTCCAGAAATGGTTCTTTGAATACTTACATTAGTGCAATATCATAGCAATAGGAGATAAAATGTTTTTAAATTTTACTTCGTCGAGTTCCTATCATGAGAAATTTCCATGAATCTCTTATTTGCTGGATGATGTTGATCTCTAATAGGGTTATTCAATAGGACATTCTGCAATAGTATCTATGATTTTTCACTTTCCTTATATCACCAAATGATGATCATAATAACTTGTCACTTATTATTTCGCGAATGAATTCGTTCCTCTATAAAATGGATATATTCTTTAGGAAACGTGCAGATGATATTTTTTTTATGTTCTGGTTTTCACAAAAAGGGATACCCTGTAATGTTCAGAGAACATCGTGGGAACCAAGGAAAATGAGGTGGGAATTGGTGTTCTTCTTCTTCTATTCGTTGAATGAACGAGTCTTTGTGAAGAGATGTTCTGCAGATCTCCAAAGTGACCGCGAAGGGGTGCGAAGCCACAACTCGACGGGTTCATCTCGCGGGGACTGCCAAGGAAAGAACAATTGATGATATTTCAGAAGAGCATCGTCCATGGAAATATCTATAAAATAGAGCCAGATCGCCAACTTTTTTACGGTGTTCCAGAGAAGTGAGTGAGTTTGTAAGCGAGGCATCACCCACGAGACGAATTGCCCTTTTTTGGGCAGAATCCAAAAGTTCCACGTGATTTCCCCAAGAGAGGTAATTGCTAATAGAAATACCGAGCATTGAAATGGATGTCTTCGAAGGTATGGTTACTCCTGAAAAGCTCAAGTTGGGCACAGTGAGATCGGCTTTTCTAGGGAAGAGGAATGCTTGTGTTTTATTTGCATTGAAATCTACCAAGTTATTGGATTGTTGCAATGTCCATATTCATGTTGTCAACATTTCTTCCTCGTTCGGTTCTGATTTGCCTGGCTGGTATTGAAGCCCTGGAAGAGAAGTCGGTATGGAGGGTACTATCATCCACGAAGCTGTGTACTGGACATGAAGTTGCTTCCAACAAATCGTTGATATGGAGTAGAAATAGTGTTGGTGCTAGAATTGATCCTTGCGGAACACCAGCATTCATGATAAGAGAGTCAGATGAAACTCCGTCGACCACTACATGACGAGGCATGTTTGAGAGAAAACTTGGTAGCAGAGAACATAGCTGGTTAGGTAAGCTATAAGATGGAAGCTTGGCGAGGAGTCCGTGGTGCCAGACTCGATCGAATGCCTTGGAGATATCGAGTGCTACGGCAAAGGTTCCACCATATTTTTCAGAAGAATGCTGCCATATATGTGAGACGTAGGCGATATGTGAGACATAAGCGAACAGGTCACCAGTTGATCTCTGATGATGGAAGCCATATTGCCTATCGTTGATAATACCTGAATGTTCCAGGTATTTCATGAGCTCGATGTTGATAGCTTTCTCCATGATCTGTGAAATAATAGATAGCAGTGCGATCGGTCTGTAGTTGCTAGGTAGGGTCTTTTTGTCTATTTGGGTACTGGTTGTACTCTTGCGATTTTCCAGTTGGACGGGAATACCCCCAATTTGTAAGAGTAGTTGAACAACTTGCAGAGAACAGAGCAAATTTCTTGAGAACAATTGGTGGGATTATGTCGGAGCCACAATCTTTGTTGGTGTTGAGACCCTATAAGATCTTCCTTATACTATGTTGGCGAAAGGTGATCTCGAGCATATGACTGTCAATTGGCCTTATGTCTATGATATCTTGCAACAGCGCATAATACTTTGAGCCCGTCCACACCACACAAAATACTGACAGGCACACCGAGAGCAGATCTGATTTTGTATTTATGTGTGTATTTATTTACCAGTTTCACACGTGTCGAGTTTTGATCTCCAGTTATTCGTTAGAGCCTATAACTACAATTTATGTTGTTTTGTTAGTTAGAAGATAATGGCTATTTTTCGTGATATGAACATCAACAACGACGCCAAGTTGTTTTCTTCTCCAATTTTTCGATTCGATTTTTATTCGTAAGCTATTATCGCTAGCTATATTCTTCATAACCAACTAAATTCAGACTGAATTCAGAATATAACGTCACAGTTTACTTCATGTTTAACTGTATTGATCACAATTCTGTACAGCGTGGACATAAAACTGAGGAGTTCCAAACTTATTTCATGAAAATTCATTCGAAGGAATGTTTCCATTATACAGCAGATTTCTAAAAACGCGGTTATCTCTAATACTGTCATGCTCTAGAAGGCAGAAAGAGAAGAAGAGGAAGAAGCAATGAAGGCATAAAGAAAGGGAGGAAGGATATCAAGCAGGAAGAAAGAAAATCAGGCAGGAAGAAAATACCACTCATAATTTGCACTTGTGGGCATGTGCTATAAATTATATGAAGAATCTACAACTGTCCCAAACTGAAATTACCTTTAACGGTAAGACTTCCCTCTCGTGCAACCAGACTTCAGCAATTCAATTAATTATTTTGCAATTATCTGACCTCAGTTTTGACCTCACAAATTTTTCGTTGGACTCCATCAATACCTATCTTGACCTACCTCAATTTAATATAAATGCGATCCCAATGAAACTCGGTCCCTGGGGGATGTTTGACCTGAGAAAATCAAAAATCTTATCAAGAATGTTGCCAGATTCGTGTATTTTGCTATGCGTGACACAACTTTTTTTTAAATGCAACACCCAGTTTATTATAATTGCATTCGATTGCTGATGCTATATTTGATAGAACCTCCAATTGACAAATTTCAACTCTGGATATTTTTTAAGATTTGGCAAACCAGCATTTTTGGAAAAAAGTAAGAGAACTCCTGGATATCTCTGAAACAATAGATGTTATATCGATGAATTTCAGTACCTAGGGGCTGTTTGACCTGAGGAAATAGAAAATTGTATCGGCAATGTTGCCAGATCTCTGTATTTTTCTGTTCGTGACACAACTATGTTTTTTTGAATGCAACACCCAGTTCATTATTACTGCATTCGATTGCTGATGCTTCATTTGATAGAGCCTCAAATTGGCGAATTTCAAATTTGGATATTCTTTGAGATTTGGCAAACCAGCATTTTTGGAAAAATGGTATAAAACCTGCTGAATATCTCCGAAACAATAGATGTGATATCGGTGATTGTTCGACCTGAGGAAGTCGACAATCGTATCGGCGATGTTGCCTGATTTCATTATTTTGCTGTGCGTGGCAAAAATTCGTTTTTTTTTTTCAATGTTACACACAGCTTATTGTTACTGCATTCAATTACATTACAAATTGAAAAAACAAAGTTCTGTCACGCACAGCAAAATACAGAAATCTGGCAACATTACTGATACGATTTTTGATTTCCTTAGGTCAAACAACCTCCAGGGGCCGAGTTTCACCCTGTATATTATGTTATTTTACTTCCTACCTGTTTTTTGAGAATTTATTATCTGTAAGTGAGCATGTTATTCGCTTTGATTATTAGCTGTAGATAATTACTATTTTCTTCATGTAATGAAGTTCTTTTAACTTGATTGGGAAATAATAGTATATTATTCAACGAGCGCATAATGATGGCTATTACCCACGAAGATGAAAGTTGCAGTACGAGCCGAAGGCGAATGCTGTAATCATCTGAGTGGGTAATAGTCATTATGTGCGAGTAGAATACTATACTTTATTTACAAAACTATTCTAGATCAAAGCAACTCTGAGAGTTCAGAAATATATCTTTGGAAATAATGAAGGTTATTTTATTGCAAAATCTCTAAATCTGATTTGAAATACTCATTCATTTAATCGAAAACTTATTGACAGAAATTTCAATCAACGAACAGCTCATAACTTATTTCAATAATTTTGATTGTGAAAATATGATAAACAATTTTGGATCTAACTTTTCATTAACAGGAAGAAAGTCGTGCAAACACATATATCAGTCAATCTTACCAGGTATTATATGCCATGTCACTTTTCAGTTGTAAAATAAATCAATAATTACTTTTGCAGATTATTTATTAACTTGTTTCCGCTGTAGCGTTCCCCCACCGCGATGATTAATTGTAGTACCCTGTCTCTATACCTTTTCAACTTCAAGTTCGGAATCGGTGAGTTATATTTCGGAAAAAGTAATCTCGATTTCAGAATTGGTTAGTTCGATTTCAGAAATGGTAAACTCAATTTCAGAATCGGTGAGATTAATTTCAGAAAAAGTCCATTCAATTTCAGAAATGGTAAGTTGTATTTCAGAATTATTATTGGAAGGTTCAATTTCAGAAGATAAAATCCTTTTATATGTTTGAAATGTTTTTGATTGCAAAAGAGAAGATTGTTTACAGGATGGAACGGTGTTTGAGAGCCCTATGTTGAATCAGATTGAACATATATTGGGTGCCTCAGAAGTGAAGAGCTTCTTGCACAAGATCATCGCCAAAGGGTCATAGCTGGAGATCCGAACAGATTGCTCAACCAGATAGAATTCAGACTGCGATGTCTTGAAGAATGTGCAGAACATTCAATGAAAATGATAACACCTCAAATGTGTTTGCATTCTTATAATCATGTGCAACGCCACTATCTTCCAGCGATTCAGATGGAAGGCATCTGTGGATTAAATTGTTTTTGAAAAGTTGAATATTTTAAATATGGTTTGTTAATCTCACATGCAATTGGAAACATTTCGAACAAATATAAGGATTTTTTTTATGATATTGAACCTACCAAATTCTGAACTATAACTTACCGATTCCGAAATTGAAGTTGAAAAGGTATAGACGCTAGTTATCAACAATGAAGTTCCATGGTTCATAAGTGTGAGCCAATCTGCAACTGTCAAGTGTCAAGTCCAATCTTATGGTTATGGTTACTCATGATATGGTAATCACTGTTGAGAATGAAAAACAGTGGATTCTCATTATTCCGTGTATTTGTGAATTGGGGATATGATAACCATGTAAGGTGCGTCTTTTGAATTTGCGTGTATTTCATAAAAGTTTTAGTAGAACTAGTAGAACGAATACCTACCTAGTTGAATTTGACAAGACGATGGGATGTCAGATTGTTACGCCATCCTACTGTCATTATCACTCTTATTACTCGATTCATCACAATAATGTCTGTCATTAAAGGTTGAAAATCAAGTTAGCAATGTACGAATGACTCCATAGTTGTAGATAAACAAATAAATAAATAAATGACTAATTGATATTCACCATATATTTATCGTTTCCATTGACCCCACTCCAATAGAAATCCTGTATTCTACGACTAGCGACCGCAAAAGAGTCGCTTCCTTTTTCCAGGCACATCTGCCAATCGACCACGCTGTCCGAGCCCAAAACGGTTTCCGGATGCTGAGGAAATATCCTCTTGTTGTACTCCGTGAACATACCTTCGGTGAGGTTGTAGCCGAACAACATCGGGACTTTGTTGTACTCGCCGGAGGCCAACGTGTCTATCGGGTGTCGGGTCATAAAGGCGGTATCGTTAGGGTACTCGATCACTGGACCGAATGGTCGGAGAAGGTTAGCACTTAGGTTCTGAAACAAAAAATTAATCGAAAAATATGTTTTTGGATGTATGATGAATTGATATTCATCATACAGGATGTGGAAAGAGATTCTGAATTGAGAAAACCTAATCACGAATCTGCGATTGAACGGCTATAAAAATAACAAGTTTCCATCGTTCAAGTTTGAACCCCTCGATTGGGTGAACGTATTGAAAAGGAATATTCCCAGAAATAATTATGCATGAACATAGAAAATGGATATATATATATGTACAATGTGACCCATCTTTAATGGTAACACCCCTCTAAAATTTGATGTTGTCGACCGATTTCAATCATTTTCTTTCGAAATGTCAAGTACTGAAAGGTCTACCTTGGGACAACATTTTAAATGTTTATTCCAATTTTCAGGGCATACTACGATATTTCCTCTTAGTCGAACATCCGGATTTTTCATTAGCGATTTTTTTATTGAAAAAATCACTACGCCACTGGATTCCGGGTGCCTTTAAACAGATGTGACCAAAATTTCATGGAAAAATATTCAAGAATTCGAAAACTCACATAGCTAACATTCACAAAAACACCCTATATCAACAGATATAGCCATGAGAATATTTTTTTTCATGATTTCAACAATGAAGTGCCACCAGATGACAAAAAATTGATAGCGTGAGTTTTTTTAATTCTCTGCTATAAAAAAAATGTACAGGGTATCCCAATTTGGGCACTTTTGCGGGGTATCTCCCTTATCAGTAAAGATAGAGCATTGCGGTTTTCGCGACAGTGTGCTACTTTTTTATGAAATTAATAATGGCGCAAGCAGAATTGTGATAGCTCTTCCGGTTGTCGAGATACAGGGTGGAATTGAAAAATATCACTTTTCAGGCACCCTCCGTGTCTCAGTTATCTTTGAACTTATCGAAGAAGTTAAAACTTGTTTTTATAGAGTTTTTCTCGTAGAATCCAGTGGCGTAGTTATTTTTTGCTAGCACCTTTCGTTTTTTAGTTATGGAGCAAACATATGTTTTTTAAATGGAACACCCTGTATATTATTTCATAAATACATTGAGCATGAAGTGGGCTTTCCAAAAATATATAATTGTATACAATTATTTTCAAAAACAAGCTCAGAATTTCAGATTTTCAAAAACAAATTTTTAGGTAGAAGGATATGGCTAAAATTTATTGAAAACAAAATTTATGTGAGTGATTATTATACTTCTTATACTTTCAAACTCAATTCAAATAATATTTTTTGATTTCTCATTCCTTAATTATTTATTACATCATTCAAACATAATTATTATGATGAATAACAACAAACACCAAAATTGAAAGATCCGGAGATCGAGGCGGCCATCTTACAGGTCCGTTGGTACCAATCCATCTTTGAGGAAAGTTAATTATAATAGGTAGGCTATGGCTAATTTGTTTGGAACAGAAAGCAAAATGTCATAAACTTCACGAGCTATTGTCAGTTTCTGATTATTAGTGAAATATTTTTGCTGTTTTGATATTTCTAATTCCTGATACAAAATATTTAATTTATTTTACAACAATGGCGGTTTACGATAATAATGAAAAGTATGATATGATGGTTTGTTTTATACAATCTAATGAAAATCCGCAAGAAGCTTCGGAATTATATTTACAAAGGTAACATATTTTGAGCGCTATGCTTACGATAATTTCTTAGGGATTCTTTATTCGTTTATATTAGATATCCAGAAAGAAGACAACATTTCCCAGATATATTTTCCCGCCTCAAATCAAATTTAGTAGTATATGGATCATTTATCCAGCCCCGTCCTAAGGCATATACCAAACAAGATAGAGAGACAAAACAAATAAACGTGTTGGGTTATGTAGAAGCGGCGCCCTCATCTTCTTGCAAGCAAATAGAGGAAGCAACTGGTGTATCCAAGTCTGATGCTCAAAGAATTTTGCGAAAATATAAGTTTCATCCCTATAAATTCCAAATAGTACAACATTTACACCCTGGCGATTCCGAGCGCCGAATGATATTTTGTCAATGGTATTTACAACAGATCCTTGCCGATGAATCTTTTGGAAGACTTGTTATCTGGTCCGATGAATGTTATTTTTCAAGTGCGGGAATTTTTAACCGCCATAATACAAGACATTGGTCCGCCGAAAATCAACATTTAATTTTTGAGAGGGCACAACAGGGACGCTTTGGAGTTGGGGTCTCATGTTTTATTTTTGGAAGACGAATAGTCTACAGAATTTATGAAGGAGGTCTCACAGCACGTCGTTACCGAGAAATCCTTGAGGAAGTTATTCCAGAACTGATGGAAAATGTTCCATTGGCTCTTTATAATTCCGTTTATTTCCAACAAGACGGTGCCCCCAGCCACAACTCTGCCCTTTTGAGGCCATTTTTAGATGATAACTTTCCTCAAAGATGGATTGGTACCAACGGACCTGTAAGATGGCCGCCTCGATCTCCGGATCTTTCAATTTTGGATTTTTTTTATGGGGTTTCCTGTAAGGCAAAGTTTATAAAACAAGATATTATTCTGTAGCAGAGCTTCGTGCAGCGATTGATTTGAGTTTCCAAAATTTGCAAAGAAGTCCTATAATTCTTTACAACGCTATCAGAAGGATAACAAAAATGTGCCAATTTTGTATACGGGAAAATGGTCGTCATTTTGAAAACCACCTATGAAACCTTTTTGCATTTTCAAAATTCTGCTTTCATTTGCTTTTTTCTACGTTGAATCTTAAGTAAAATAGGTTTGGTGTTTGTTGTTATTCATCATAATAATTATGTTTGAATGATGTAATAAATAATTAAGGAATGAGAAATCAAAAAATATTATTTGAATTGAGTTCGAAAGTATAAGAAGTATAATAATCACTCACATAAATTTTGTTTTCAATAAATTTTAGCCATATCCTTCTACCTAAAAATTTTTTTTTGAAAATCTGAAATTCTGAGCTTGTTTTTGAAAATAATTGTATACAATTATATATTTTTAGAAAGCCCACTTTATGCTCAATGTATATATGAAATAATATACAGGGTGTTCCATTTAAAAAAACATATGTTTGCTCCATAACTAAAAAACAGAAGGTGCTAGCAAAAAAATAACTACGCCACTGGATTCTACGAGAAAAACTCTATAAAAACGAGTTTTAACTTCTTCGATAAGTTCAAAGATAACTGAGACACGGAGGGTGCCTGAAAAGTGATATTCTTCAATTCCACCCTGTATCTCGACAACCGGAAGAGCTATCACAATTCTGCTTGCGCCATTATTAATTTCATAAAAAAGTAGCACACTGTCGCGAAAACCGCAATGCTCTATCTTTACTGATAAGGGAGATACCCCGCAAAAGTGCCCAAATTGGGATACCCTGTACGCTATCATTTTTTTTTTCATCAGGTGCACTTCATTGTTGACATCATGCAAAAAATATTCTAATGGCTATATCTGTTGATATAGGGTGTTTCTTGTGACTTAGCTGTGTGAGTTTTTGAGTTTTCGAGTAACTTTGCCATTAATGAAAATTTTGTAATAAAATTTTGGTCACACCTGTTAAGAGGCACTCTGAATCCAGTGGCGTAGTGATTTTTTCAATACAAAAATCGCTAATAAAAAATCCTGATTTTCTACTTAGGAAACATATCGTAGTATGCCCTGAAAATTGGAATGAACATTTCAAATTTTGTCCCAAGGTAGACCTTTTAGTACTTGACATTACAAAAAAATATATTGGAATCGATATACAACTTCAAATTTTAGGGAGGTGTTTCCATTGAAAATTGGTCACACTGTATACAGTGTGTCCCACACTTACCATGCTCACCATGGGCATCTTTTCAACGGTGAGAGATACGAGGTCGGTTAAATGACACCAAATGTGGAGTTTGTCAAGGCTAACCATAATGTGAAAAAATATTTTGATAAAATCTATTCGTTTTTGTTTTATACGCAAAAAACAGATTTTGATCATTTTCATGTCTCCTCCGTAACTTCTTCATTTAGGAAAATATTCGAATAGGAATTTCACATTCTCATGGCAGTTTTTCAAAGTGATTTCGAAAAAAATTTGAAATTTATACCAACTCTTCTAGAATTTGAGATATTAGCACCAACTTTAGTTTTTCAAATGTAGGTCATAGCTCACTATGACTTAGTTACAAATAACTTTTTTTTCTCTTACAGATGATGTGTCGCAGTAATAGTTTTGTGTTGATAACAACGGAGTTATCGTCATTAATACAAAAACAAAAAAATATTTGGAAGCCGCCATCTTGAATTTATTAATTTTAACAAAAAAATCATGATCTCCAACCTCAAAAATCCCCACTTACCAATTTTGAATGGAATCGGACCAAATCTTCTCCGCCATCTTGGAGCAGCCATTTTTTTCAATTTCAACAAAAATTCCATAATGTATTGTCACCGGGATTTTTAACACCTGCCAAATTTCAAGTTAATCGGAGTTATGGAATTTTTGTTGAAATAAAAACAAATGGCTGCTCCAAGATGGCGGACAAGATTTGGTCCGATTTCATTCAAAATTGGTATGATGGCGGCTTCCAAATAATTGTTTGTTTCTGTATTAATGACGATAACTCCGTTGTTATCAACACAAAACTATAACTGCGACATATCATCTGTTAAAGAAAAAAAAGTTATTTGTAACTAAGTCATAGTGAGCTATGACCTACATTTGAAAAACTAAAGTTGGTGCTGATATCTCAACTTCTAGAAGAGTTGGTATGAATTTCATATTTTTTTCGGAATCACTTTGAAAAACTGCCATGAGAATGTGAGATTCCTATTTGAATATTTTCATAAATAAAGAAGTTACGGAGGAGACATGAAAATGATGAAAATCTGTTTTTTGCGTATAAAACAAAAACGAATAGATTTTATCAAAATATTTTTTCACATTATAGTTGGCCTTGACAAACTCCACATTTGGTGTCATTTAACCGACCTCGTATCTCTCACCGTTAAAAAGATACCCATGGTGAGCATGGTAAGTGGGACACACTGTATAAAGAAATACATTGAGAATTCGCATTCTCTATGTTATCAAAATATCAATTCTTTCTCGGTTTATCCAACAAAAAACAACTAATTTCCTGGCTATACGACACGACGAACATTGAATTATATCTATTGAACACACGCGATAAGAATTTGAAAACAAAATCTTCTGAAGTAGAGAATTTGCATTCTCCTTCATATAAAGATATGTATATGCACCTAATATTATTCTGAATATTTCTGGCTATTTGACACGTCGAACATTGAATTATATCTGTTGAACATCCAAAAAGAGATAATGAAAAATGAAAATCCTCTGAAATTAAAAATTGACATCATCTCTCAAATCGGGTAAAATAATATGATGTATTATGATATCAAAATATTACTTTTCATCGACTAGGCAGAAAAGCACAAGAGTTAATGCAGCGGCTAGAAAACCGGCCATGAATTGGTTGCAATTTTTTTTTAATTGTATCATTATTTTGGAAAATCTGTGAAGGTGCAAGAAAAATTTTGGTTATTTTATTTTTGATGTTCGTTTGTGACCTCTGAATATTCCCTGTCACAGTTTACAAAAACCATATACAGCGTGAACTTTTTGATATAAATTAAACTAGCAAAATTTTTCAAGAACCGTCCTGGATTTTCCTCATTCTGAATGAGTCAGCTGATTAGAGAGTTGAAGCAGAATATTCCATGGAAAAATCAGAAAAATCAAAGAATCTGGTTTTTCGAAAATCGTGTGAAAAATCGATCAAACTCTGTTAGTTGTGAATGCCTATAAATTGGGAGATAAAAAAGATATTGAGTGTGGTATTTTGGGAAAGCTCTTCGAGAGGTATTTCCAATGGTGCGAAAATATATGGGGTGTTCTATTCAAAATCCACACACTTTTTGCCACTCTGTATATCTTCCCAGATAGTGAAAAAGTATCTTCTATTTCGAAAACGAAAAAAAAAACCTATGAGTCTGTTTTTTTATTTTTCTCCTACTCTGTCAAAAATAAAAAAGGTACAGGGGGTGGTACTTTAGAACGCGCACCCGGTACAGTTCCTTATGACTCACCCTGTATGCCATCTTGAGAACAAGATCGATGAAAAACCTCGTATTCACCTAATACAAACATCCCTTAAAGAAAATTCAATCTGGTAACCATACTCACGTCGTATATCTTCTCTTGGGCCTCGTACAATTCTCCAATGGGTGCCTCCCTCAATATTTCCATCGCCTCAGCCTCATTGTCATCATTTCTCCCCATGTGCTTCACGATGTCCATTGCTTGATTGCGGCTGCCCCACGACCAAGGGTTGAAAACAGTCCCGCTCTGCAAGATAGCCCTTCAACGAGAAAATATAATCTATAAAGAGGTCCCATGATTAGCCTGCCAAACTTCGCCAGCAGCTTCTTCGACCAAAAATAGGAAGAAAAGTTCCAATAAACACGAGTTGAGAAATGGTTCTTAAGGGAGTAATCCCGAAATACCGATACCGGAAAGAAATCCCGGGGTCCTACACAAAAAAAAAGGATTTGTTGCTACAACAAATTATTTATGCTTGAATTATTTTCGTTGGACTGAGCAACTTTTTGTTGAATCGAACAGCTACATGATGATTTCATGGAAGCAGCTTGTTCAAATCAAGAATGTAGCTCAACTAAATCAACAGTATATTATCAATTCCATCAACAAAATATATTGTAATGGTATTCCCCTTATAAGGGCTCGAGAAAAATCAGCAGGAAGGCAGGAGTACAACGATCATCCTGTAACATGCATCCCAGAGATAGTTCTCCACCCTCCCAATGATTCCTACATGCACCATCATATTTCCGAACACTCAATATATGCCGTGGTGACAAATAACGTGACAGAAGATTCTGGAGTGTTCTGGAAACAATCGATGGAACAATTAGAGAGAGAGGTATTGTTCTAAGAAGCTTGTAGAACAAATAGAAGGAGACGGAAGATCATTCGAGAACGTTCTCGCATCAAAGCCTACAAAGCGATCTCATATACGGGTAACTCACGGTCGATGGTACGTTAGACGTTTATGGAGAACGGGACATAGGACATATACCGGGTGATCAAGATTCTGAATTCTGCACGACCCTGTATTTGTTTCAATTAAATGTCAGTAGATAGTTGATCAAAAGTTGAAATAGGGACATGTGAGCCGTTTTGACCGATAATGAATAGTTTCGACAAAAAAAATTCCTAAAGTTGAAAAATGTCGATTTTTCACACCCTATATCTCTGTAATCATTTCCGCTAGACCCCAAGTATGATACATCGATGAAATCAGCTCTTCAGAGGAAAACTGAGAATGCAATAAAATACAGGGTGTTCTATTTAAAATAACAAAGTTGTTGCTACTTTTCTATAGAAGCGGCAGCGCCGCAGAGCTGAAAATATTTTAGATCGATAGACCAAGAGGGTGACTAACCTATATTCTTTGCCAAGAGCAACTACGTGAGTAACGTCTAACGTACCATCGACCGTGAGTTACCCTGTATAAACGGCCAGACAACTGCCGTCAGTCGGTCGAGCAGCGAGTGTCAGAGAGACAGTTTTATACCGCGTGATATAAATCGTTTTACATAAATAGTAGTTATAAGTTCGTTATAAATTAGTGTTTCTTTAGTTCAAATAAATCAGTTCGAAAATGAATAGTGTCGTGTTCGCTTCTGCACCCGAATAACGTAACAATATGGTTATGTCAAAAACAATTTACGTCGATCTAAAATAATGTCGATGTTTATTCAACTATAAATATTTTGTTAATTTGATGAAATAATTATCATTTTGATAAGAATATATCTCTGAAACAACATACAAGTTTTCTCATTCCGATGTAGCAATGAACTCGTTTCGAACGGATCATTTGCTTGAATTGAGCAACGAAACATTTAATATCAATGAAATATTTCTTGCATCAATACTGAATTGGGTTCAACAAAACAATTTGTCGAATGGAAACACAGTTTCTCTTGAATCAACAAAATATTTCATTGCATCAAAAAAAATATTTCATTGGATCAACCAGATATTTCATTGAATCAACCAAGAAGTCTTTGAATTAACCAAATATTTCTATGAATCTACCAAATATTTCATCGAATTAACTATTTGATTGAATCAATATCTTGTTTTTTTGGAATTAAACAAAATGATTGGTTGAGCCAATTCAATATCTCTTCATAAACAATTCATGAATGTTCATGCAAGATATTTACTTGATTCAAACTTCAAATTCCCTCTGGAACACGATATCGATTTACTCATTTCAAGATTATATTTTGTCGTGCATATATAACACTTATATTTGCTTCATTCAAATAAATTTTGCTTGATTCAACAATTCTTTTTTTTTTTCGTGATAGTGATATTTGATGTGATACCGGGATTTTCGGGTTAGTTTTGACCAATAAGACTCCGGTCTCGTCAAGTAAATCAGATTATTATTATTCGAAGTTCCAGGAAAGAAATCATTATGAAGATACTCGTGAGTCAAATAAATAGTAGATTGTTTTATAATGATCAGAAGTGACACTTTGTTTGACAAGCAAATTTTGCATTTGCGAGGCGAAGCCGAGCGAAAGCAAAAATTTTGCGGCGCTCAGAATATTTCAGGTCGATAGAACACAACTAATCATCCAAGGAACCAAATTTTCAGAATAATCCTACGTTGCACAGAGTTTTTCAAATACACCTTCAGTCATTTGAGTCCTGTTCGTCCTGTCAATTGTGGGAACTGTCAACTGTCATTTTGGAATTTTGTTGCAATCTGAATTATTCAAACAATTTCTGTTTGTATCAGAATTGTTCATTAAAAATGTATGCGAAATGTAGACGAAAGTGAAATCGAAGAGATATTTTAGGTAATTGCATATTTCCATAAACTCTGTGTAAAAATGAAGCACTCATCTTTGTGGGCAATTCATTCTTCAGTATGCTAAATGACAATAAACGTAAAACACAATATTTATGTAAGCAAAATTATGCAATCAGAATATGGATACAAACCTGATGAGAAATCGAAAACTTTGATACCCCAACGAATCGAAGAGTTTTTCACTTCTACCTCAGATGAAAACTTTCTATCAACAAAGCTTAGTAAGCAAGCCATTCATGTATCCTAACTTAACTTGACCACATCTACAACCAATATCCCTCATACGTGTGTCGTTGGTTGCATGCAGTTGCATAGTAATATGGATATGATCTTGTCAAAGAGAGGAATTATGAGTTCGTAGAAAAAGTACAGTATGTAACGCGTTCATAAACTCATCTAGACACTCGTTCATTGAACACTCGCTGTGCTCTGCTGAGCTCGTGCTTAAAATTGCAGCCCTACTTTTATGAAAAATAGGTGCATTGCGAACGGCAGCTCTTCGTCAGTAGGCACTATGAGTTCGAGTTATCAAAATGAGTTAAAATAGCAAAAATTCAGTTATCTAGCAATCATAAGGTTAAACAGAAAAGATGGGGCGCCACTGCAACTTTTAATTCAAATGAAATGTTACCTGGAAAGTTGAGCAACCAGATAATGAATAATATTAGTTGTTCTCCCAGACTAAAAGACCTAAATTTACCTTAGAGATGTTGAGTTGGAGTGTCATGTCAATAAACAAATAAAACAGTCATATACAATACCCAAAACATTTAATTATGATGATAGGACTCATATCACATCACAGGTTTTGACAAATATGCATAATAAAAAAATTAGATACTCATTTCCTGTTAAGAAACTACACTGTTGTTGCCTGCTATTATGTGGATGAAAATATATATATAAATCAACCTTATACTGTACTTGAAAATTCAAAAGCTCCTGTAAGGACGTTTTATAGTCATAGCATATTTTAAAAAAATATTGAAAATGGAAGAATTCTACCAGCGCATAGTATACTATGTGGAGGGGAAGTATGTACCTTTCATGTGTGATTTCATCAATTTATGACCTGGCTATGATTTAAAAATGGTCCATTATACACACTAGCAATGGGCATTATGAGTGAATAAAAATGAAAAATAAAAATATATTTTCATGTCAAAAACCTGTATGGTGTGTCCTACACCAGTTATCCAGAGTAGCATTCAGTGCTACCAAATGAAGCTGCTGAGGGGAAGGTTGGCGGAGAGCGGGGTGCTGACTTCACATCCCTGGATGTCAGATGACATTGACAGAGTTGTCGTATTTCCACCTTGAAAATCCATCATCAGGAACAAGCAGGGGACGATATCCAGATTCCAGACTACTATATAGCCACCAAAGGCCTTGTAGAAATAACAGATCCTGGTCGAGCAATGACTCCTGGGAAGAATAGTGCTCCTGGTAGGATAACTCCCGTTGTAGAACTCCCGGTAGAAAACTCCCGGTGAAAAAACCCTTAAATAATTCATGAAATGAGGTTCTGAATTTCTGGACTGCAGAGAGAAAAAACGTAATAATGCGAGACTCACCTTCTATGAAGGGTTAGGGATTGAAATGACGATGAAGGTAGGCACGTGGCTGCCTGGGTGATGAACCATGAAGATCCTGCCTCTTAAACCAAAACCAGAAGAAATCTGTAGAGTCCAGCAGTCCTTGTAGATCAGCAACAAATCCAGGATATCCTGATGTGATCCAGAACGCCAGGCGGTACAGGACTCCAGAAGCCGGTTCACACCACAAAAATGGCACTTGACCACCACGAAGAATTTTTCTGAAGTGAGCTCTCGTCTCACGAGCAGAAAGGAAATCCCTTCTCCAAATTTCCAGAAACTTCGAGAACAACTTAACAGTTTCCGCTTTCCAAATTGGCGGAAAATTTGAATATCCAAAATAAAAGACGTTACCGCTACTCCCTCCAGAGACTTGATTCTTCCCAGATGACTATCTGAACCAATCAGAATTGATGACTAAAATGACGTCACACCTTTCTTCACAAATACTCGTCTTGTTGGTTCGACGATGATGATCTAAGGACATATCAATCCGAATCGGCGTTTGGCGCATGACAAGTTTGACACTGTTGACATGGTGTCATGACCGACAGCTAATTGACGTAAAGCGAAATAACAGATCAACAAGATCAAAACATCTACCTGAATTTATCAAATGCATCAATCAAGAAAATTATGACAAACGAAGTTAATTGATTCACCATGGTCGATTCCTAGTGAAACCATCCGCTTCAGCATTCCTGGAAAATCCAATACCTATTGTCCTACTGTGATGAAGTTTCAAGTGGAAATAGCAGTGTGAAAAGTGAGTATGACAATGTCTCTGAAAAGGTATTTCATATTACTTTATATTATTTATCTCTTTCAGATAAGTTTCTGTAAAAACCATCC